CCCTGTCAATAGGTAACATTTCACCCTTCTGGGGTCTTTGATGGAAGTGAAGACTAGATGGTCATAATTAAAGTTTTCCTTAGTTACGATAAAAAGTAAATTAGATATAAAACTTTAGAGTCACAAAGATAAATAATAAGAGTATTTTCTCTTAATTTGCCCAATTTACTGGATACAAGTGGACTGGATATTGTAACTGTAATTCTTTTTTATTTTTCTTTTTTTTTCTTCTTTTTTTAAATATTTATTTATTTATTATGTATACAATATTCTGTCTGTATGGATGCCTGCAGGCCAGAAGAGGGCACCAGACCCCATTACAGATGGTTGTGAGCCACCATGTGGTTGCTGGGAATTGAACTCAGGACCTTCGGAAGAGCAGTCAGTGCTCTTAACCACTGAGCCATCTCTCCAGCCCCTGTAACTGTAATTCTTAATAACTGTTTTGTTGTATAAATTTTACTATGTTAAAGTTTAAAGTCCTCCTTTTTAATTAGACAAAAAGGGGAAAATGTGAAATATTCCTTTATACTGGTGAATATATTTCACTATGACTGGTTTAATAAAGAAGCTGACTGGTTAATAGCTGGACAGAATAAGGTTAGGGGGAGAGCCAAATAGAGAATGCTGGGAAGAAGAAGGGAGGAGTCAGGAGTCACAAACAGATGCAGAGAAAAGCAAGATGTGCATGCTGTACTGAGGAAAGGTACGAAGCTACCTGACAAAGTGTAGATAAAAAAAAATGTGTTAATTTAAAATGTAAGAGTTCAGTATTAACAAGTACTGTATGATAATGCTCTTGTACCCTGTAAAGGTCTGTCACTTGTATTGGTTTAATAAAATGCTGACTGGCCAGTAGCCAGGCCAGAAGTATAGGCAGGGAGACCAGACTAGGAGAATTCTGGGAAGAGGAAAAGCTCAGTCTGCAGTCATTACCCAGATGCAGAGTAAGCAAGATGAGAATGCCTCACTGAGTAAGGTCCAATCCACATGGCTAAACATAGATAAGAATCATGGGTTAATTTAAGTTATAAGAACTAGTTAATAATAAGCTGAGGTAATAGCCAAACTGCTTATAATTAATATAAAATTATATGTGTTTTATTGTTAATTGAACCACTGAGGAACCAAGCAAGACAAAAACTTCCATCTACAAAAAAGCCTGAGCTATTGGCTGAGCATTTATAATTTATATTAAGTCTCTGAATGGTTATTTGGAAAGTATCTGCCAAGACACAGGAAAATTACACCTATACCCCAATTAAATGCTTTGTTTTATATGAAAAAAAAAAGAAGTGGAGCAAACAGTCTGGGCTCTGAAACTACTTTTTTTTCTTTTTTTTTTTTTGTTATTTGTTTTTAGAGACAGGGTTTCTCTGTGTAACAGTCCTGGTTATCCTGGAACTCGCTCTGTAGACCAGGCCTGCCTCTGCCCTTTAGCCTGAGAACTTAATTCAAATGATTCATGAGAGCTACTGTGATATGAGGCGGGCTTCAAATCCGAGCCAAATAACTGTTTATTGCATAATCTGGGGCACCAAATGCAATTTCTTGAATTTTGATTTGATCACATTTTATTTATGCATGACTGTCTTCCCAAATTATACAAATTATTCAAACCCATCATTCTGACTCCAACGTGTGAAATTTATCAGTCTTGTGTGACCACAGCTCTCCTTCCATTTAGAAGAGTTTCAAATAGTTATAAGAGTTGCTGTGATCATGGTGTCTCTTCACAGCAATGGAAACCCTAACAAAGACAGATTACTAATAGTGAGAACAGGTGTATCTCTGACTCTATTGCCTACTTTTTTTTTTCCCCAGCGGACAGTGACAAAGATGGTTTATTGTACACGGATTACAATTGGCCACAAGTGCGGACAGAACTAGTCCAGAGCGCCACAGGTCCAGGGCAAAGAGCCAGCGGGGCTGTTGTCATGACGGCAGGGCGTCGGTCTCGGTGGTCTCCGCGAGCGGGTGGCGAGGTCTTGGGTCCGGAGACTTCCTCCGGCTGCAGCTCAGTCCAGCTTGTCCCAGCGTCCCGGCCTCCAGCGTCCCTTACTGCTGCTCCTGCGGCCTTCGTGGGTGGGCAGGCGAGTTTACTTGGACCTCTGCCTCATCTTTCTTCTCTTGCGCTTCAGTCTGCGCATTCTCTTCTTCCTCCACTTGGCTCTCATGGCGCAGGGGTGTCAAGGAAGATGGCGCTAAGGCCAAGAGCTCGATATAAGTACTTTTGCCTTGTCTTACTGTATCTTGTTTTATCCTATTTGGTTGTCATCTCTTGGAGGCCTGTTCTTTTCTGAAGAGGAAACAATAGGGGGGTGGGTCTGGGGGGGAGAGGGAGAATGAAGGGTATCAAGTCTCAATCCTTGGGTCACAAGGCTGAGGTGTGCTTATTTAGCATATCAAAGCAGACCTGGTTGTCAGGTTCTCCCAGCGTTCCTTAGTACCTACTAGTATAGTGGACATACCCCAGCCTCTACCCCAAACTCTCCAGACCAGGGACTGGGCTGCCCTTTCTTCATTGGCTCTTCCCTGTACAGTCCAGCCATTTTGGTTACCTGCCCCTTTTGTCCCTCTTGGCTGCACCTGGTTCCCTTTCTCCCCTCCTCCTTCTCCTCTCCCTCTTCCCTTGCGGCCCAGATGAGTCAGGGTCATGCTCACTGTAAACTCTTCCAGCCACGGCTGTCTCTGCCTATGCTCTCACTCTCAGCCACAATAAACCTTCTCCACCACCACACCTAGGAGCGGTCGGTCATGTTCTTTCCTTTCCTTTTCCTTTTTCTTTCTTTCTTTTTTATTCAGGGGGAAGCTGGGAGGAGTGGAGAGAGGGGAAACTGTTGTCAGGAGGTATGATATGAGAGAAGAATCTCTTTTCAATAAGGAAAAAAAAAAAAGAATTCCACTGACATCAAGTGGGGTAGAAAGAGATCACAATGGCAGATTGTTCCGAGTAGCACAGAGACCAAAAGAAATATCAATTATATTGTGTTGTGATGCAACAGATTTTATTGTGCAAGGATGGGAAGGGAAAGCCACATTCGTTTTCTTGGTGTGAGTGGGTATTGTTCTGGACCCCATTGGCAGGATTAGACACACTGCCAGAGAGCAAGTACACAAAGTTGTTACGGAAACTAGAACGCCTCCATGCAGCACACATTTGCAGAGGATTTTCAAGGCCACCTCATTCAGCAAGATCAACTCCATCTGCGGACGCCAGTGCGCCCTAATGCAGGCTGTATTCTTATGGGTTCTTTTGACCAGCTCTCCTCGAGTAAATGTAAATTCAAGACTCAGGGGATGGCAACTCCATCACCGAAGTGCAACTTGTGTGTAGGGTCTTTGCACTGAGTGTCAGAAGCTTGCTCACACTTGCCTCAGCCATTGTCTGCGTTCTGGTTTCTGTAATCTGAGAACAAGGTGGCAGTTGTGACCGTCTTCTGAGAGGAACGTTTCCTCCAACAGAGCCACTCACTGTCTGTGTTGTCCCATACCAGGATACAGCGAGTGTGTCTCTTTGCGTTCTTTTTGTCGTCATGGAGAACAGACAGCGACAGCTGCCTCCGGCCATGCATTTTTGTCTTTGAGAACTGGAAAATTTTCCAGCTATCTCTGAAAACAGGATTTTTGTTTCGTTTCATTTGTCCCACTTTTGAGACGGTAAATGCATGATGAGGATTTTTGTGGCTTTTGAAGGATCTTTTGAGGCGTTTGATGTTTCTGCACACGAATCTGTGGAAACCATCAAGCAGATGGTAAAGGTATGTATTTAGTCAGGGGTCACTAACATGGGTTGGAGTTTCATTATGCCTTACAGTTTAAAATGTGCAGGATAGAGACTCTATTGGGTCCATTTCTAGCATAAGGAACAAGGAGGTGTCAGAAAATATTCCTATTTGTTTGCATACTATATTGATAAGAATCTGGTACATTTGGAGATCTTAGATAAGAAAACACACTGAGTCAGTAAACTCTGGATTGGAGGAATTGTCGAGCTTCACTTTTCTTTAATGAGTTCATGGGTCGTGCCTGGACCAGATAGTTTATTACAATTGTGCCTAAAAGGACAAAGCACAACGCGAGCTTTAATACGTGCAAAGAGAGTGCCAGCTGTCTGACAAATGCCTTGTTTGGGGAGCGAGCCGATATGAGAAACCAAAGGATTCAGGAGATAGAGAAGACAGTGAACTTATGGGCTTCAGTTTTCTTTTGTATTCAGAGGAAGCTGAGGCGCAGAGAGGGCATCCTACCCACGGCCACACTGCCGGAATAAGAGACAGTCACGACACTCGGGAGGCAGAGGCAGGCGGATCTCTGGGAGTTCAAGGCCAGCCTGGTTTACAAGAGCTAGTTCCAGGACAGGAACCAAAAAAAAAAAGCTATGGAGAAACCCTGTCTCGAAAAGTCAAAAAAAAAAAGAGACAGTCATGAAAAGTTTAATTTAGAGGTGGTCATTCCCATTCACTAAGGAGTATTTCTTTTGTGCTTTGCTTTGTTTTACAAAATGGGGCCTCACTGTGTACCTCTGACTGTAGACCAGGCTGACCTCAAACTCAGAGTGCCTGCCTCTGCCTACTGAGTGCTGGGAATAAAGATGTGTGCCACCACAGCCAGCCATAGTGAGTATGATTGCTAACAGTGGGGAGATTATTACAATCTGGATCTAGTACAGGAGCTAGTATCCACTATACGTCACGGATCTGTTGGAAGTTTGATAAAGCAGATTAACTCTCAGAATGTTGTTAAATGCATAAAATACATAAGATGAAAAGATAACCGCAGAAGGCATGGTGCTGCGTGCTTATAATCCTAGCACTCTGGATGCTAGGGCAGAAGGGATAAAAGATTGAGGCCAGCCTAGGCTAGAGTAAGAGACTCTCCAAGAAAGTAAGAAAAAAGTGAATTGAATTTAAATATAATCTTCAAATAATAAAAGTCATATTTATGGCACAATGCCATGGGATGTGGGGTTTTATTAACATTAGCTAAGAGGTCCTAACGGTGCACTTAGCAACTAGTATACATTCAAATTAGTGATAAGTATGCATAAAACTCTGAAATATCTATAGCACCAGGAACGTGACATGGAGATTAATGCAATTTTTAATTGGTGACAATGCCACAGGTACAGATAATGACTTAACTAAATACAATTAAAGAGTGGGGGGAAGAAACCTCAAATTCACTTAGAGTTAACAAGAATAAAGCAGTAGCCGGGTGGTGGTGGCGCACGCCTTTAATCCCAGCACACGGGAGGCAGAGGCAGGCGGATCTCTGTGAGTTCGAGACCAGCCTGGTCTACAAGAGCTAGTTCCAGGACAGGCTCCAAAACCACAGAGAAACCCTGTCTCNTAAATAAGCGACCCCAAAAATTCTACCAAGGAACTTTTACAACTCATAAACTCTTTCAGTAATGCAGCAGGATACAGGGTTAACTCAAAAAAGCAGTAGCGGGCTGGAGAGATGGCTCCGAGGTTAAGAGCACTGGCTGCTCTTCCAGAGGTCCTGAGTTCAATTCCCAGCAACCATATGGTGGCTCACAACCATCTGTAATTTGATCTGGTTCTCTCTTCTGGCATGCAGACAGAACACTGTATAAATAATAAATAAATACATTTTAAAAAAAAGAATAAAGCAGTAGCAACTGGAGAGATGGTTCAGTGGTGAAGAGCAATGGCAGTTTTGTCAGAGGACCTGAGTTCAATTCCCAGGACTCACATGGAAGCTCACTATCATCTGTAATTCCAGTTCCAGGCGCTCCAGTGCCCTCTTCTAGCCTCCCTGGGCTCCAGGCATACATGTGGTACACAGATATACATGCGAGCAAAGCACTCACATACATAATATAGAAGTAATTAAAAATTTAAAATGAAGGTTCAGTTTTTTCCCCCAACTAAAATCTTATTTATAAGCTTTTAGGGAGCAATAGAGTCCAAGTCAAGAACCCTATCCAATCTTTCTTCCCTTTCTTCTAAAACAATCATAATGCCATTGGGAAGGGAGGGAAGGAGAGAGGAAGGAGAAGGGAGAGAAGGAGGGAGGGAGGGAAAGATGAAAGGAAGGGGGAGGGGAGCACTGTATTCTTGGTCTGCTAATAAAGAGACGGGCTGTTTTCATAAGCGGCTGTTGCCCTTTAAGGATTATTTCCACATTCCTCTTTCTGAAGACCAACAAGGCAGGTGGTATTTAGAGCTGATGTATGCCGGAGCTGCCCTAAGGAACAACTGGAGGCTGTCAGATGTTGGGATATCTTTCTGCGCAACTCTCAAATGCTTCGTTAAGGTACGATGGAATAATGTTTGCTCAAGATGTCTCTCGCATTTTGAGATAAGTTGTGGATGGCTCAACTAAGTAGTTTCACAATGTAGAAAAAGCTTGGCATAGGCTGGTGTGGCTGATGCCACCTATACTCCCAGTACTTCTGAGGCAGAGGCAGGAGGATCATCAGTTTGAGGGCAGTCTGGGCTATATAACAAGATCTTACTAAAAAGAATAAAATAAATATTGCTTTCTTTTTTCCCTTTTTTAAAGTTTTTTTTTTAGAATTTAGATTTATTTATTTTATCCTATGTGTTTGCGTGCCCAGCTGGTGCTTGAGGAGGCCCAAAAAGGCTGCTGTTGGATACCCTGGTGTTAGAGCTACGGGTGACTGTGAGCCACTGGATATGGGTTCTGGGAACCAAACTCAGGCCATGTGTAAGAGCAGTACCTTCTGTTGACCCCTGTGCCATCTTTCCAGCCCCTAAAGATTTACTTTTATGTACGTGTATGTATGCACATGAGTGCAGATGCCACAGGAGGCCAGAGCCACTGGATTGCTCCAGAGCTAGAGTTATAGACGGTTGTGAGCTGCCAGGCATGAGTTCTGAGAACCAAACTTAAGTCCTCTGCAGCAGCGGTATACACTCTTAACACTAACCCATCTCCCCAGCCCTTCTTGTCTTACATTCTCCTCTTTTCCATTGGTACTCATGGTCTTCTGCATGCTTCATGTCTGCTACGGGTAGTAAGATACAGACACAGCATTCCCTCTGTCCCCTGTCTGTTCCATCTCTCCTTCTCACCCTATCCCTTTGCCATCTGCCCCATCACACCATACAGGACTCATCGTAAATGAGAGTCTAATGGATGGCTCTGATATGTCTGTACAGTGAGACAGATGAGGTCACGTCCCTGGTCTTAAGACTTGGGGACAGCAGCGTGACAAAGAGAAATTTCTCAGTAACAGGAAGAATGTGCTGGCTAGTTTTATGACAGCTTGACACTAGCTAGAATTATCTGGAAAGAGGAAGCCTCAATTGAGGAAACATCCCTACCAGACTAGCCTGTGGGCAAGCCTGTGGGTTGTGTTCTTGATTGACGATTGATGTGGGAGGATCCATCCCACAGGGGGTGGTGCCACACTTGGGCTGGAGAAATCCCTGGGGAGCAAGTCAGTAAACAGTTTTCTTCCATAGCCACTGCATCAGCTCCTGCCTCCAGGTTCCTGCCCTGCTTCAGCTCCTGCCCTGACGTCCTTCAGTGATGGACTGAGATGTGGAAGTATAAGCTGGAACAAACTCTTTCCACCCCAAGTTGCTCTTGGCCACTGTGTTTTATCACAGTAGAAACCCTAAGATAGTGTCTATATCCAAGTACAGACAAAGTAGCCTTCAGAACTAGGTGTATGTGCAGGAGAAATGTCTTTCCCATTTTTAGGGTGCCCTTAATTCATGGCACATAACTGGGGATCCTGGGCTCAGCTTTCATTAAGAACTTTACAGAATCCTAGCTCTAAAATATACAAAACCATGTACTTTGGGATTTCCTGGGCTCAATATCTCTAATTTGAAATTAGTTTTTAATGGGGCAAGTGACCCAATTAAGAGCTGTTGTTTATGCAGGGGTAGAAATAGTATCCTACACTCATTTCCAACCCCTGAAAGCATGAGTTCTCGTCCCCTTAAAATGTGATACTTGGGGGCTGGAGAGATGGCTCAGATGTTAGGAGCATTGCCTGCTCTTCCAAAGGTCCTGAGTTCAATTCCCAGCAACCATATGGTGGCTCACAACCATCTGTAATGAGGTCTGGTGCACTCTTCTGGCCTGCAGACATACACACAGACAGAATATTGTATACATAATAAATAAATAGATATTTTAAAAAATGTGATACTTATCTTCTCCTACTTAGCAGTAAAAATTTTTATGAAATTCAAAATTAATTCTTTTTTTTTGTTTTGTTTTGTTTTTGAGACAGGGTTTCTCTGTGGTTTTGGAGCCTGTCCTGGAACTAGCTCTTGTAGACCAGGCTGACCTCGAACTCACAGAGACCCGCCTGTCTCTGCCTCCTGAGTGCTGGGATTAAAGGCGTGTGCCACCACTGCCAGGCTCAAAATTAATTCTTAATATGCTTACACAATTAACTAAGATGTTTTAAAAGATGCTCTCCTTTATTAAGTACTAAAGACATGTCACAAAATGCAAAAGATTGCATAACTCCATTTGTATAATTTTGATGTTTCCCAAGCATTTATTATTTACATATTCCTTATATTTTAAAGAGTGTTTAACTACCAAAAAGTAAAATTAAGATGACTGTGAAAGCTCCAATTTTCTCTCTCTAATACCCAGAAAATACTTTTAAAGCAAACCAAATTATATTTCTTTTCTTTTTCTGACAGGGTCTTGCTATGTATTGCAGGCTGGCCTCAGACTTTTGAGTCAAGATGTTAGGGTTACAATTGTGCGCCGCTAGAGCCCGCTTCTCCTTATGACTTCACGTGGGTTCCTATACCATGTTCAGGCACTGCGCAGCTACACAGATTACCTCCCTACAATCTCCATGCGCTGCCTAGTGACGATAAGGGTTCTGATTTTTATTTACTTATTGTTGCATGTGTGTAGGCATTTTTCCAGAGTGTATTTCTATGCATCATATGTGTGCCAGGTGCCTGTGGAGGCCAGAAGAGGCTGTCAGAGCCCATGGAACTGGATTTAGAGATGGTTTTGAACTTCCATATGAGTACCGGAACTCAAAATCCAAACATGGGTCCCCTGGAAGACCAGCCAGTGCTCTGAACCACCAAGCCCTCTCTAGCCCCAAGTTTTGTGCTTTTTGTTTTGTTTTTCTTTTTTTTTTAAAAACTGTTTGCTTGCTTAGAGGCAGTTCAATTCTAACATCTGAGCTGGCAAGGCGGATTTAATAGCTGGACATATAGAATGTATTAAGAGTGTTTTTTATTTAACTAAGGACTGCCTTGGTCTTAAATTAAAAACTTAAATTTTATCTATTTTCAACTAGTGAATATATTTCCATGACTCTCAATTCAAAAGCTACAAAAGAAAATACATAGTAAAGTCTCCCAACTCTGGCTCTAGCTTCCATTCCTAAGAGCAGTCTATACTGTGAGTTATGCTGACAACAACATTTCACAAGTACAGCCAATGCATCAACACCCATGCAAATACTGCAAGCTCTACACCGAACTCTAATATTTTTATGGGTTCAAAATTACAATGCAAGGAATAGACTAATAGTGGCAAATAGTTTATTGGAGAGAGTCGAGACAGAACCTGGTTATGATTAGCGTGCTGATCAATACAGGGCTTCATTAGAAATTCTCACATTTTGTGAGTCTTTTATTGATTTTCTTCTTCATTCTGTCCATTTGAGTTACACCTACAGTTCGTTATCAAAACTCTAAGAAGGAATATAGTGTGTCTTTAAAATAAAGAAAAAAGAATCGCCTAATTGTCGGTTCCTATTTCGGTTAGATCATTAAATAGGTTATTCCTGAAATCCACAGCATTTACTATATGTATATAACAGCTGCCAAAAATGTACTTACAATAATAAAAAAAAATCACCATTGAAAAAGATCCCAACATACATTTGACCTAAGGCAACCAAAGGCTGCTTTCCAAACACATTATTACTTTACTGCATAACTAAATATATACAAACTTAAGTAAAGTCCTTGTTCTGTAACATTTAATTATAGTGCTGTGTGTAAGTCAGTTCTGCGAATCCAGGAGAGCTAAAGCCTTTAACTTACTTTAGCATAAGCTATGAATGTGATAAAAGCCAGAAACTCTAGCTGAGCTCAAAAGCTTATCAAGTCAGCAATTCTTAAACATGTACCCATAGACATATGTCATAAAACAAAAGGTAGTTGCTTTTTATTGTGCTTATATTTTTGTGTGGTTTATGAAGAATTGCTTATGTGATAAGATTTTAGGTAGGGCTGGAGAGATGGCTCAGAGGTTAAGAGCATTGCCTGCTCTTCCCGAGGTCCTGAGTTCAATTCCCAGCAACCACATGGTGGCTCACAGTCATCTATAATGAGATCTGGTGCCCTCTTCTGGCATATAAACATACATGAAAGGAGTGTTGTATATATAATAAATAAATAAATCTTTAAAAAATATTTTAGGTAAATATTTAGCTGATCTACTGTTAAACACATTTAAAAAATAGTCTATTTCCCACTATTCCTGCAGACAAAATCCTGAAGGGCCAAGTACAAAAGATAATACGATCACTGTCCACGCTTCAGTGCAGGGCTCTGTGAAGCTCTCAGGACCCGGATCCCCTCCCTCTCCATAGCAGCCCCATCCCTCTCTAACCTTGAGGCCACGTGCTCCCCAGTATCCTTGGATTTTTCTCTTTCTCCAACATCATACTTATAAAAGCAGTAGAAACAGACCACAGATAACTTAAACAGAAAAAGACATATCCAATGCTACCAGGTAGAGGACAATCTCTTGAGGAAGAATAGAAAGTGGGGATCTGCAGTTACATAGCCAGAAATGGCATCTAAACAGGGCCAGAGAGCTAGTTCTGAGATGCCAACCCTAGCTTCAAACATTTTTTATTTTTGAATATTTTCATACACACATATATGGGAGGGGTTGAAGAAAAGAAGACATCGGACCCCTGGTGCTACAGTTCTAGGTGGTTGAGAGCTGCCATGTGGGTGCTGGGAACCAATCTCCGGTTCTCTGCAAGAGCAGCAAGTGCTCTCAATAGCTGAGTGGATCTGTACGGCCATCACTAGGCAGACACTAGGTATGCTGGCAGCCTTGTGACCAGGACAGGGATGCATCAGAATTGCTATCACTAGGACAATCCCAATGTCTGCTGTTTCCTTTGGTTTCAAATTCTTTTTTTATTATTATTTTTTAACAAAATACAGTAAGATAAAACAAAATGCATCATGTTAAAATTGGACAAAACAAGCCCATAGTAAATTAAAAGAGAAGGCGCAAGAATCAGAGATCCCTTTCATTTACCCACTCGGGAGTCCCATAAAAATAGTAAACTGAAAGCTATAGTCAGAGGACCTGGTGAAGCCCCATGTAGGCCCAGTCTCCACTGCCTTTCAATTACATTTTTACAGTAATTTCTGCCTGTCTATAAATATGTCAGAGATAGGTTTGGCTCACCTGAAGGAGCCAAAGAGCCGCAGGAGCATCCTGGAGTGAGATTTTTACAACCTACACGCAGAACACCCAGCACACTGGCCACAGGCGGCATCTCAGCTTGTTGGGCTGGCTTCGTGTGTAACAGAAGAGAGACTGCATTGGCTCTACTAATTTAAGTCTCTGAAAGAGGCCCTCAATCAAAACATTGGAAACACGTGTTTCATGAGTAACATCATTCCTCCAAGAATTTTTTAAAATGTTTATATTGATTATATTATGGCAATGCTGTTTATTGATTATATTATGGCAATGCTATCTGGGAAGAGGTGGGTGGAGTGAACATCCTATAAGCTTGTAGCAGGAACAGGCTCCAGGAGGAACCAGAGAAGAATTTAGCTTTGACTTGGTTTCTGTCCTCTGAGACAGTTATGTAAAAAACTTTCCATGTGGATGAGGCTGGTCTTGAACTCCTGATCTTCCTGCCTCTACCTCCCAAAGTCCTATGACTACATGCAAGATGTGGTAAGTGGCTGGATTGCCTGAAGGGTGCAGGAAGGACCTGGAAGCCAGGTATTTGCTTCTAAGAAAGCTTCCACGTTGGGGACATTCTGAGGCAGTGTCATGCACTTGCGTGTGCCCAGCCAACAGCAGCCACTGCAGAAAAATGTCACAGTCCTGCGGCCACTAAAGAGGAAGTAAAACCAGTTTCACTTCTCTAAACTGGAGGAAGGTATTTGTCTTCCCCACCCCTTCCCCGGCTTGCTCAGGGCTAACATTCCCCCAAACTTTCCATTTTCTCTTTGGATGTCTCAGTTCTACTTTCCTATTGGTCTCTAAAATAAAAGGAACAAACAAACAAACAAAGATTGCCAGTCCACAGCCTCTCCGCCTTAAACACAGTGTAGTGCGCGCGCGCGCGCGCGCGCGCGCACGCACACACACACACACACACACACACACACACACACACACACACGTCGTGAAAGGCGGAGGTGCTCAGACTTCAGCGTCCCCAGCTCAAGCTTCAGACAGTGAGTGTCCCCTCTCCTCTCCCGGCAGAAAGAAGACAAGCCTACCCTGTACGTGTTTAATGCTGTGACCCAGGAGATGATGCCAATGATGGGGAGTGTGTCTATTCTGGATAAAAAGGTGTCCGACCTGAGAAGGCTGGTAACTCTGAGGTGTGGCTTCCCCGTGAGCGTCTACTGTCTGCGGACACCAGAGGGACTGGAGATGTATGATTGCAACACCCTCAGGGACTACGGCACTGATATCGGTACTGCCCACCACATTCACGTCAGCCGCCACTCCGCAACCAGAGTTCTCTGATACCAGGTTTTACAGTCTTTCAGGAGAAAATGGAAAGCAGCTTTTTATATGCAGACTGTATTTTAGTTACCCTAAAATAGTTAATGCCTTACGTGGTTTAACGATAAGAAGTATAAAAAGACATACAGGGAGTGCTTTTAGGGCCAGGAGGCCAAGGAGTTATCCCTATACATCTTTTTATACTTGTTCTCAAGATTTAAAATCACGAATTAAATCACAACAAATGGAGCTGTTGCAAACTGGAACCTCAGTAGTCACACTGCTCAGGTGTAAATTATCAATACTTTGTTCTTTCATCTGGGTCTGTAGAGTAAGAAACAAAGATCGCAGAGCTCTGCTTATTCCTATATTTAATTTAAAAAAATGTGTGTGTGTGTGTGTGTGTGTGTGTGAGAGAGAGAGAGAGAGAGAGAGAGAGAGAGAGAGAGAGAGAGAGAGAGAATATATGTAGATGGGTTTTTCAGCGGGACCGCCAGCTGCTCCCAAATGACCACACAGAGACTTGCTATAAATTATAAATGTTCCACTGATAGCTTAGGATTGTTCTTAGCTAGCTCTTATAACTTACACTGACCCATTTCTATTAATCCATGTGCTGCCCCAAGACTCTTTACCCCATTTACACCCTTCCCATCCTGCTCACTCTGTCTCTCAAGGCGTTTCATGGTGTCTCCTCCTGACCCTGACACTTGGCCCCTCTTCTCGCCAGCCTTCTCTCTGCCCCAAAGGTCCTGCCTTGCCATTGGCAAGGGAGCAACACATCTTCACAGTGTACAGACGGATCATCCACAGCGAACATATGTGTGTGTCCATATGTACAGGTACCTTTGGAGGCCAGAAGAAGGAGTCAGGTCCCCCGGAGCTGGACGTGCATGTGGGGATGAGCTGCTTACTGTAAGTGCTGGGAACTGAACTCCAGGTCCTCTGCAAGAGCAGCGTCGTGCTCTTAGCCGCTGAGCCATCTCTCCAGCTCTCTTCTGCTAATTCTTAAAGCAGCATTTTGCTAATATCCCCAGCGTGGAAGGACAAAACTCAAGTGATACCATTTTCGTCTTCTAAGTGTATTTCAAGCACAGATGGGCTCAGGTTTCCTTTTTCCTTAGTGCACGTGGCAGAACTCGCTTTGCATGATCTCATCTTTAAATGTTGCCAGTTTTGTCAAAACAAGCTTCTCAAGAGCAGTTCTGCGCAGGATGAAAAGCTGCCGTAGCGGACCAGAATCTGCCAACAGAAAGATCACAGCCTCTCCTTCAATACGACAGAGTCAGGCCACATCTTCTTGGCCAAACATGAATGAGAAAAAGAACTAAATTTGTCTTCCCTAGACTAAAAAGTGACTCAGACCTTGGATTATTGTCGAAAGGTAACTGGGTCCTTGCTGAAGACCCATCCGCCCCGAGTGGAAGTGTGCTAAAATATTTGCTGCGAGGGATTTTGAGTTCCCTTAACAAACACACAGGGCTCTGTATGCGTGCATGAGCTAAATAGTTTTGCTTTCTGTCACTGCCAAATCTACACTTACTGATATTTCCCCAGGCTCTTCTTTCGCTTAACAATCTGTTTTCTTTTCGTTTGGAGCTGAGCATCAAAAACTTTGATATCAATTATTGTCTCCATTTTTTTTTTTTTTTTTTGGTTTTTTTCGAGACAGGGTTTCTCTGTGGCTTTGGAGCCTGTCCTGGAACTAGCTCTATAGACCAGGCTGGTCTCGAACTCACAGAGATCCGCCTGTCTCTGCCTCCCGAGTGCTAGGATTAAAGGCATGCGCCACCATTGCCCGGCCTTATTGTCTCCATTTTTGATCAGAGAAAGTGAAGCTGTTGGATTTGTCCCCAAAGTGCTAGTCTAGTTCTGAGTACTTGCTGGAGGCGCACACAGCCTGGAATGTAAGGCTCACATGGGCATTTGTGCTCAAGCAACCGATAATCTCATGCTTTAATTAAAGATCAAAAGAGGAAACAAAACTAGAATGATTTCTGGAGAATGTTCATTCACTCGCATACTTCTTGAATTATGACATTTTAAAGCTGGGAAGAATTTAAAAATTACTTCACCCAAACCAACCTTTCCCAGATTTAAAAAAAAAAAAGCAAAGTTTCTGAATGGTTCATTCATGTTATGTTGAAGAAAAGAACCCCCTTAAAATAAACATTTGAAGGGATAAGATTGGGGCGGGGATGAGAGAGTCGATTTCAGATACAAAATCCAGAGCCCAGGAACCATTTAGGTAGATCTCCTGGCTACCTGGAGAACACAGGGCATTGGAGGAAAGGCTCAAAAAGGAAGTATTGGGGTGGGGTGACTCTGACCTGCTTCTTATGATTCCTGAGGAGTCACGGGCATTCCCAGGGAAGCTGCCCTCCTCGCTTTACCTACAGGAATCCCGAACAGCATTCTCACCCTTGCTGCCATCTGAAAGTGAACTATGAATCACTTTCCCAAAGGAGTGGACGATAACATTTTGGAAATGCAATCAAGTCCAGGTTGAAAAACCAAAGGTTGAAGTTTCTCAATGAGTCAGCATACATACCTGCTCATACAGAAATGTGCAGAGCTGCCTCTGCCCGCTAGGCATTTACAGTAAAGGAGAAAGACTGAGCCATGGCCGTATCCTCAGTTATAATCCAACAAACCAGAGCGGTACAGGCTGATGGGATCACAAGGTGTCATTCAGGAGAATGTGGCCTGGAGCACGTGAGATGCAGAACTGTAAATGGTCTGAGAGGAGAAATGGAAGGCATCCTGGGCTTCCAGGCCAGGAGAAAATAATCAAGCTATAGGCTTGTGAACATGCTAATCCCTAGGAGAGGCTGAAAATAAGAGACTATAAACCAAGAGGATTTCCCTGACAACATGGGGAAGCTCAGCTAAATGAGCCAACCACGGTGGCACGTGCTTATTAATTCTAGCACTTAGGAAGCAAAGACAGGAGGATCACCACAAATCCGAGGTCACGCTGGTCTGTGTGGCAAGTGGCAAGCTGACCAGAGCTACATAGAGAGAGTGACTGCCCCCACCTCCAAATGGAAAAATTAATGGGGAGTTGGGGACATGGCTCAGTTGACAAAGTGCTTGTCTTGCAAACTGGAGGACCTTGGTTTGAGCCCCACTACCCAGAGAGAAGCCAGGTGCAATGGAGCCCCAGCTTTAGTGGGCACAGAGAGAAGCTGTGTGGAGCTTGCTGGCCAGTTCGTCTGGTTGAATTGCTGAGGTTTGGATCAAATAAGAGATCCTGCCTCTAAAAATAAGGTAGATGCTGGGTGGTGGTGGTACATGCCTTTAATCCTAGCACTAGGGAGGCAGAGGCAGGCGAATCTCTGTGAGTTTGAGGCCAGCCTGGTCTACAAGAGCCAAAGCTACAGAGAAACCCTGCCTTGAAAAAAAAAAGGTTGAAAGCAGATTAAGAAAGACCCTAGTGGGGGGCTGGAGATATGACTCAACATTGAAGAGTACCTAGGTTCAAACCTCAGCACTCCCAGGGCAGCTCACAACTGTTTTTAACTCCAAAATCTGACACCTTCAACAGACATGCAGGTGTAGGCAATTTTTCTGGCCTTCCTACCAGCTCCCACATAACCACATGGAGACTTCTTACTAATTATGACAGCTTGGCTAATAGCTTAGGCTTGTTTCTAACTAACTCTTCTAACTTAAAGTAACCCGTTTCTATTAGTTTACTTTCTGCCATGTGGTCTCATTACCTTTACTCTGCCCATGATGCTCTCCTGCTTCCTCTGTGTCTGGCTGGCAAGTCCTCGCGATTCCGTCCTTCTTCTTCCCAGCATTCTCTCTGTCCCCAAAATCCTGACTAGCTATCGGCCTTTTAGTTTTTTTTATTAAATCCATGACAGTGAAATATCATCCCACAGTGTAAAGAAATATTCCACAGCATGTGGGCAAAACACCAACACACATAAAATTTCTAAAAATAACATTCATAATAAATAAAGACCCTCAGCAATGACTTCTAGCCTCTATACATATGCACCTGCACATCCACACTGTTGAAGGAATTTTGGCCTGAGATTAAGGACAGAATTTCCAACATTCTGAGATGGCACTAAACATCGTTCGGCATCTGTGTTACATAGTTATGTGAAGCCACATTCCCAGCAGTGACAAAGTTAAAATATCAGTTAGCTCTGAAAAATATTGAAGACATTTTATATCTCAGCCAAGAGTTAATTCCTTTCAAAAATATTTATCAGCCGGGTGGTGGTGGTGGCACACGCCTTTAATCCCAGCGCTTGGGAGGCAGAGGCAGGCAGATCTCTGAGTTCAAGGGCAGCCTGGTCTACAGAGCAAGTTCCAAGACAGCCAGGACTACACAGAGAAACCCTGTCTTGAAAAACAAACAAACAATAACAACAGCAAAACGTGTGTGTGTGTGTGTGTGTGTGTGTGTGTGTCTCCAAAAAGGTCAGAAGAGGTTATCAGCCCTCGATCAGATCCCTTGAAGCTGAAGTTACAGGCAATTACAGGCCACCATATGGGTGCTGGGAACTAAATTCAGGTCCTTCGTAAGAGTCAAAAGTGTTCTTAACCACTGAGCCATCTTTCTAACCCCAAGATTTAATATCTTCTGTCAAAGAAAACATGTATATCCATCTCACCAGTGTGCGATTTTTCTTTAGTCTTTTATGAATGATAAAATTATACATATACCAAAGAATTGTTTTCAACTAAAATATTTTAAACATTTATTTGATTTTAAACTCTGTGTTTGTGTGTTACATGTCTGTCTTTGTGTCTGTTTGGGGGGGATGGTTACGTGCACATGAGTGCTGATGCACAAGGAAGGGTCAGAACCCCTGGATCTGGAATTACAAGTGGTTGTGAGCCACTTCGTATCCCAGATCCCCTGCAAGAGCAACACACACTCTACCACTGAGTCATCTTTCCAGTCCCAGATATTTTTTAAACATTTATTTATTTATTTAGTGCCAAAATACATGTGGAGGTCAGAGACTAACTTCGGGGAGTCAGCTCTTTCCTTCCACCGTGTGGGTCCCGGGATCAGACTCAGGGAGGCAGGCTTGGCATCCAGCACCTTTACTCACTGAGTCATCTCGTTGGCTCCCAAAAATAAATCCTTTATGATGGATTATAAGGAAATGCCTGATGTGTATATGTATTTGATAAACCTGTTCACCCCAAACTGAGTGTGTTAACGGGCTTTCCCCAGCCAATAGAAACCTGAAGGAAAATGGCATCCATCCCTGCCTCCCAACTTCAAGGCTTCATTTCACTAAGCTCTTGCTATGTTTGGAGAAAGCAATCATTAAAGCTTAATCCATTGCTTAGCCACAGTGACAGACTGGACCGTAAATCATCTCTCTCAATCCACAGGCACAACACTTCGTTTGGATGTCTGGGATGGATGGAAGGAATTTCTCATAGGATGTCTTCTCGGGCAAAAGCCTAAAGTCCAGCGATTCCTATCAAAAGAAGGACAAGTACTCAAGTACGAGAACCAAAGCAGGTGTTAGATGGATTTAAGTCCCCTTGTTCTAAGCCTCCATTCACCTTGACCCTGGCATTGAGATATGACTGTAGCTGGTTTCTTCATTGGATGCCAGGGTTGAACAACAGATATTGTCCTCAAATCATAAGCTGGTATTCAATTTCAAAGGTCTGGTTGTATTAGAGTTTAGAAATGACAAGAGTCAGGCTTCTCCTTTAGAAGCCTTATTAAGAACTGATTTGGTTACCTGCTGTTTCCTCCAGCCAGCCCTTCACATACAGTGACCATCAGGACAGCTCACACGGGGTACCAAGCTGCCCTCTCTCTCGTGCCTCTGACATGAATCTTATTCTGCATGAATAAATGAGTTTGCTGAGATCAGAATAAAATGCTGTCCTGTCGCTGGATCAATAATAGTTCCGTGATGGCTGATGTGTGTCTGGAACTGTTGAACACAGTTGACTTGGAGAAGCTGGTGGCTATTTTACTGCATTACTACAACCAGCAGCTTCCCAAAGTTGAATTAACTGTTAGTGGGCAGGTGTTTTAGAACAGTGCCCTCTTGTGGGTGATTTGAACATGTTTTACCAAATGCAGACACCGCCAGGCGCTCCAAGGAGTTAGTTCTTGCAACCAATTGTGAAATAGTCTAACCTTCCCATCAGCTTCTGTTTAGAGATAGTTGGGATCCTGTTTCATATTCTAAATGCAAAGAAATACCTGTGTCACTTTTCATACTGTGTTAGTGAGCATACTGCCTGTGACCAAGCACTGTACTGCGTTTATGTTTGATCCTTCATATGTGCAATAATTTCACGGTAGGCACGCTTCATGTGAGGAAACTGAGATTTCAAAGATGTATGTTTGGCTTATCTTTCAAGTTTGGGCAAGATATTGGGAGTGGCGGGGGTGGTAAGGTACAAGGCGTGATCTATTTTAAGACCTGTAGCTCATGTGTGGTAGCACATGCCCACAGTGCCAACAGTCAAGAAGATAGGGAGAATCAGGAGTTCAAGGCCAGCCTTAGCTACCTAGTGGCTCCAAGACCAGTGTGGTCTATGGGAGACCCTGTCTCACAAGACCTAAACTGAGTGTGTGTGTGTGTGTGTGTGTGTGTGTGTGTGGTGTTGTACATTCTGGGCATGCATGCGCACGTGTGTGAGCTCATGCATGAAAGTCAGAGGCGGATGTCAGGTGTCCCGCTCTATCACTTTCTACCGTGTTCTGTTGAGACAAGGTCTCTCTCTCTCTGGTGCAGGCCAGCGGGCAGCAAGTCCTAACAATTGTGTCTCTGCCCTCACAGCGCCAAGTTATGGGTTCACCAGGAAGTTTTACCCACGGTACCCAACATCCCAACCCCTCTAAACTATGCTCACAGTTAAATGAGTAAACATAAATAAAATATCATTATAAATGAGCATCGTAAGGAATTTTGATTGCTGTCTGTTTGCTGACTTACTAACCCTTTCTGCCAAACTTGTTGGACTCATTCAGGTACCAGAAAAGGGTAGCCCTGTACATCGCTGCCTTTCACGGACACACTGAACTCACTGAATGGGCTCTGAAGCAGGGCGTGCAGCCCCACGAGGCGGTTGGTGTTCACCCTTATCGAGCCTGGTGCCACGAAGCCCTTCACGCGGACGTCTCTGACTGCCCTATTCACGCAGCTGCCGAAGCCGGCCAACTGCTAATTCTGAAGGCCTTTGTCAACTGCGACGTCCTGTGCCTGGAATGTAAAAACGCAGCCGGGCGAACGCCCCTGGCCATTGCAGCGAAACACCAGCATGAAGCCTGTGTATTATATTTACTGAATAAAATGTGGTCCACAGTTTCTTTTCTAAAACTTTCAGTTCCTATGAGGATTTATATTAAAATAAAGCAGTGGATTCTCAGAGCTCAGAGTCATAGAGGCCAGAAAAGCCAGCTTGGCAGAGCAAGAATCTCCGGGGCAAAAGTTGGAGACACCGTGGTGGTGGATGGTTTTACTAAGCCAAAAATGACTTCCAAGAGCTGGTACAAGGCTGGAGACAAGAACTGGCAAAGCACTCGGAGGCAACTACCACCTTGCAAGCAACAATCAAGCAGGAAACCCGTCGATTCTTTACTAATTTCACAAAAGGACACCAGAAAACAAATCACACTCCCATCCTTAGTAAAAACAAATACCTCCTCAGAACCACAACATCATCAACCAGAAAGCCAGCAAAATAAAACTGCCCCAGCTGGGAGAAAAGAAAAGTACGTAAGAAATGCCTATCTCCCCCAGGTCCCGCTTCCCCCAGTCTCCAGAGTGGATTATCCCCACCGAATGCTCCACTGTGCTCTGTCTGGTGCCAATGGCTTGCTAAGATCCTTCTTCGCATCTTTCTCAGAGCACAGTGGGAGGACTCCGAGAGAGAACGCCATCTACTGCTTAGCTGTGGCAAGGTAATGTTTACTCTTTAAACAAGCAAGGGCATGTTTGCTAAGGTACGTCTGGACGGGGAAATGTTCCCGATGCCCTACTGCAGCATTCTGAGTAACACGAGTTGTTTTAACACTTGCCTATTTACTTAGCATCAAGGACTTTGTCTCACTGAGTCTGGTGACACTTGCCTCTCTCTAATCCCAGCACTTGAGAGACAGAGACTAAGAGGATCTCATCTCATCCTCAAATCTATGGGAAAACTCAACTGGTGCTATCAGCCAGTCCTTGAGCTCCCAGAAAGGGACAAGGGACAAAGAAACTGAAAATAGGGGAGGCTATCATGAAAACTGCCCCAAAGACTGAATAGCCACTAAAGTAGCAGGGACAAAAAAAGAATAAAATGAAAACAAATAAGGAGGCTTATGGGACAAGATTCACAGGAGAGAGAAGATCTGTCCTAGGCAGAACGGTAGCACTGGCCTTGACGTTTAAGGGGATAGACTATCACAGTTGGAGGGCACAGAAGTGTATCAAGAGGGCTTTCAGGAACATTCACATCCATAACTGAAAATAAACCTAAATGAAATCATTTCTGTTCTGCTTTACAGATGAGGCACAGCTGGGTGCCTGGGTTAGTGAAGTGTAGATGTATGTCTGTTATTTTTCTTGCTCGGCATCATGAGAAAGCAACTTAAAACAGGACTTCCTCGGTTTGCTTTTCTTTCTATACTGGTTTGGTTTGGTTTCCTCCTAACACGCTGCCACCTAGTGGGGAGAGTAATTTACGCTGTAAAATTCAAAATTTAGAACCCAACTTTATGAGAATTTTAAAAAATTTAAGAATTAAAAAACTAATCAGCAGATCTTATGTGGTCACTCACGTCTATGATCGTGGCCGCTTTCTGACAGAGTCCAGTTAAAAGACTTCACTTTCTGTTTTCTTTGCATCTGCTCTAACACAGAGACACTAGTTCAGCAGAAAGACATTATGTTGGTCAATTTTTGGACATCAAGGCAGATTCTGTTTCCACTTGTGTAAAAGTGTCTTGAAAAAAAATGACAGCAAGTTCTTCCAGAGACAACCATTTTCTTACTCAAGAGTTATCCTGTTCTTTACTTCCTCCACCTGGCTGTTTTGCTCAACATATTTGTAATGGTCAATCCTGTCCCTTTTAGAGACAAGCCCCACCCACTCCCTCCTCCATCCACCTCCGAGGCAAGCAGGTCTTCCTCTTCCAGTCTGAGCCCTTCCCTTTCCTGCTCTCTCCCTTCTCCCCTCTTCTCCCCTTTCCTCCTCCTCCTCTCTCTCTCTCTCTCTCTCTCTCTCTCTCTCTCTCTCTCTCTCTCTCTCTCTCTCTCTCTTCCTCTCTCTGCTCTTCCTCCTCCTTCCCTCTCCCCTTTCCCCTTCCCTGAATAAATATCCAACCTCACTCTGCATGGCTTGCCTATCCATCTCGATCTCTCATCCACCACGTGGCTCCCTATTAGAAAAACTAACAAGTTGGAGTGACTGTTCCCAGGTTTAAGAGTTAATTCTATGGCCAGCATAAATGGGTTAACCCAATTAGAGGGTTCAGAAAGCCATAACCACTGAGATAAAGCAAGAAGCAAGCCCAATACACAAAAAAAAATGTTACAACCCAGAAAATTCCCCACAAACTTGTGTGGTTTTCAGTTTCTAACGGCAGTTTGTAAAGTTCTAGCACTTTTTAGGGAGAATATCCTTCCTGCCTCATCGTAAGACCTTGGCTTTAGAAAGACCTTAGTTTATAGTTCCCCTCGTGCCTGTGTGGCAAGGGAACCAGACAGCAATGAAATCACCCTCAGCCTAGCGGTGGGTGCACGCCTTTAATCCCATCACTCAGGAGGCAGAGGCAGGTGGATCTCTGTGAGTTCAAGGCCAGCCTGGTCTACAAGAGCTAGTTCCAGGACAGGCTCTAAAACTACAACAAAACCTTGTCTTGAAAAACCAAAAAAAAAAAAAAAAATTAAAAATAAAATAAAATCACCCTCATTATTCAGCAATGGACAGGGAAGAGGTTGTGAATTGTGTCTTTTTATTTTTTGTTTGTTTTGTTTTTCTTGTAGCGCCTTTAAGGAGAAGCGATGGCTCCAACAATTAGAAATAGCAAGGGTCCTGGCCAAAAAGAGCATTTCTAACCTGACTGTCCAAGGAGGTCCAGAAAAGTGTGAAAACCTTCCAGAAACTTTGCTTTGAAAAGTCACATAAGCCCTGGATTGGAGCATGATATGGTCAAATAGAGTCTCCATTTCTAACGTCAATATATCAAACTACAATTCTAGCGCTACATGGCTTCAGCCGGGTGTTGGATGTTTAACAGCAAGCTTTCTTAGACACTGTACTATTCAAAGTTCTCTAGAGGAGCCGAACCCGAACCCACAAAATGACTATTGAAAGGCGTTAAGAGGTTGGCTCACAAGATGTTTGGATGGTCCAACAGCAGCTCCCTTCACAGTGATGATACTGGTGCCTGCTCGATCCAGGAGGATGGACAGCTCCACCATTCCAACCTGGTGCCAAGGCGGGAAGGATGCCTGGTCTTCATATTAGCGGCCAGAAGAAAATGGATTTTTCTATCAGGGAAGAAAGGCAGCAGCAACAACAACAGGGGGAAATTGAGGCACAAGGGCAAGCAGGCAAGAAGTAAAGCTTTCCCCTGGGACACCTTCCTTGTGACTTTTGTGGTGTTTTGAATAAGAATGCCTCCCTCCACAGGTTCATATATTTGAATCTTTAGGGTTTTTTTTTTTTTTTTGAGGAAGTAGGTCACTGGAGATGTGTTTTGATGTTTCAAAGGCCCATGCTAGGCCCCGTTTCTCTGCCTGTGGATCAAGATGTAGCTCTCAGCTGCTACTCCAGCACCTGTCTGCAGGCTACTATGCTCCCCACCATGATGAAAACGGACTAAACCTCTGAAACTGTAAGCCAGCCCCAATTAAATGTTTTCTTTCCTAAGAGTCACCTTGGTCATGTGTCTCTTCACAGCCATAGAGCAGAGACTGAGACAGCTGCTATTAGAAGATGCCATGTGACGGAGATATTACCCACTTTCAAATAACCGAAACAAGAAAACCCCTCATACACATCAGGGATTCCCCTCTATCCAGATAATCCCTCACCTGCATTCTCAGGGGGCTAGCCTTTATCCAGATAACTCCTCACCCTCTTTCTCAGGGGCTAGCCTTTATCCAGATAACTCCTCCCAACCTCTTATCTCGTAGTCTTATCTCTAGTCAGTTCCTGATCTAGTCAAGTGGATGCCCAAGGTTAGCCATCAGGAATACAGATGTCCAAATGGCACTTAAACCCTTAGTGGACAATGCTTTAAAGGGCGGTACTGTTCTTATGTCAAATTTTCAGGACCCTCCTCCCAGCTCAGTCTCAGAAAGAACTCATGGGAAAACAAACAAACAAACACTGACACCAGAAGATGCCTGGGGGGTTGGAAACTAAGAAGGATATAGGAATGGAGCTATAATCTTTACTGTATTTTTTACCTTTTATTCTGGGCTTGTTTTATTGTTCTGGAGTTTAAAAGTCATATAAATGAGAAAATAGTAAGATGACTTTTAAATAAAATATATATTTTTAGCAAGGTCCCTGTGAGAATTACTGAATACCCCTAGACATCATTTTAACTTCTGCTGGAACATCTCTTGCTAGTATTTTTTTTTTCAAACTGAAGTAAAGCTTGTATACAATAGACCTCAAGGATATTACATTAACACATAATGGTTTTAAGAGGTGTACGTCTGTGTGGACAGTATGCCCCGGTATACATGTAGAATTATTGAAGAAACTAGGAAGCTTCTTCAAGCTGCTGGATAAATCTCAACTATTAAAAGACAGTGCTGTTGTGACATCAAATTCTAGGAAGATTTGAAAAACATTCGTAATACTGTTGTTCACGTGGGCTCTGATGTTTTGTGATTAATTTCCGTTGCCCTTTTTGTTGGGGCTTAGTCTGGTTTTATGAGACATAGTGTAATTTGTAGTCCTGGCTGGCCTGGAACTAATTTTATAGTCCAAGTCCATCTAAAACCTGTGGCAATCTTCCTGCCTCAGCCTCGCAAGTGCTAGGAATTACAGGCACCAGCTGACACATGCCATCCAGCACTAGGGTTTTTTTTTTAATTACTTCCTGAGCAGTTAGGATTCTGTTTATGGATTTTTTAATATTATTTATTGTAAAGCACAGACTGACTCCCTAGAACTCATGAACTCTTCCAACAACCAAGACCTGCAGCTACTCTTTGGTTCTTTTTAAAAAATAATTTTTAATACATTAGAAAAGAATGTAAGAGAGAAAGGGGTGGGGGGAGAGGGAGAATGTATTTATCTGTATGTGAACACGTGTGCCACAGTGTGCTCTGAGAACTTAGAGAAAAACATATAAGAGTCGGTTTTTTTTTTTTCTTGTGGATCACAGGAATTGAATTCAGGTCTTCATGCTTTGTAGCAATCACCTTTTACCTACTGAGCCATATCACTCAGCCGTTCTGTTTGGTTCTTCTATCCCTCTTCAGTTGCTGAGAAACCAGCCATTTTACCATTCTTGCCTCTCAGCTCTCCCTCTTCCGCCGTCAAGCATCAGACAGCTCTGTCACCTCTGTAGCCTGGTGCGCTGGCCGCTCAGTTGTGACAGTTGTTGCTTCTCCCGCTGTCGCTGCTTTACTGTGTCTGCTTCTCCACCTCCGGAGAAAAGCCTTTTATTGGTTCTAAAGTTGCAGCAGCAAGAAATGCAGTGCAAGGGGAGTGATCCCTCCCGGCTCACCAACTGAGCAGCCAGCTTCTAAATCCAAAGAACTGGTGTTGGACCGATCGCAGCAAAACCTCACACATAAACGAAGGTATGTTTGCTCAGCATCTTCCCTTTTATGCAAAGCATAGCAGTCCTTTGGCTGGGTCAGTAGGGGAAGGGTTCCCTTTCTGACCTACATAGAAATGCTTACAGGCTCTCCTTGGGTTCACACAGGCTTGCGATAGCACAGTCTTAGACAAAGAGTTTAAAACCACCCTGGTTAAGGTTGCACCTTATGAAGCCAATGCAAGCACCTGTGTGGTTTCCTCTAGGTGTTTATGGAGAATACAAAGCAGTCAGTGGTTGTGTAAGGATAGTCCAGCTGGCTGTTGACTGGCCATCCTTTTGCTCAAAGCACAAAACCAGAGAGGGATAGACTAGCAGCTGCCACCTAGGAAGTGAAACTTCCCATTCCCCGATGTTTCTACAGCAGAAGGCTATTGTACAAAAACTTAAATTTTTATTATTAAATTAATGATGTTTTTAACAGCACTTTAATAACTCTTAACATCTGACCACTAAAGAGTAGTGGGTCTTCCTTATTTGTCCCTCAAAGAGACATCAGCGGAGCAAACAGTTGTAATTAGATGAAAAGGATATGGTAGAAACAAGGAGGCTTAATCTATCTGGATGGCAGATTAAGAAAAGGCTTCTCTAGTTGAGAATGATAAAAGCACCTGGCTAGCATTTAAGAGGTCTTGGGTTAAATCCCTAGTCTTCTAGATAAAATGAATTCTCCCTCCCCTGTTTCTTTCTCTCCTTCCCCCCTTTTTTCCCTCCTTCTTTTTCTTCCTACCGCAGGAGAAAGATTTGGAGAGTCACTATCAATTGCCATTCTATAGTCTTTTATATGTGAACCAAAGCAAAAGAAGTGACCAAATTCTCTTTTTTTCTTTTTTTTATTAATTTATATATTTATTTATTAAAGATTTCTGTCTCTTCCCCACAGCCGCCTCCCCTTTCCCTCCCCCCCCCCCCATCAAGTCCCCCCCCCTTGTCAGCCCAAAGAGCAATCAGGGTTCCCTGCCCTGTGGGAAGTCCAAGGACCACCCACCTCCATCCAGGTCTAGTAAGGTGAGCATCCAAACTGCCTAGGCTCCCACAAAGCCAGTACGTGCAGTAGGATCAAAAACCCATTGCCATTGTTCTTGAGGTCTCAGTGGTCCTCCTTGTCTGCTATGTTCAGCTAGACCGTTTTTTATCCCGGGCTTTTTTCAGACCCAGCTGGTGAGTTCCCGACAGAACATCCCCATTGTCTCAGTGTGTGGGTGCACCTCTCGCGGTCCTGAGTTCCTTGCTCATGCTCTCTCTCCTTCTGCTCCTAATTTGGACCTTGAGATTTCAGTCCGGTGCTCCAATGTGGGTCTCTGTCTCTGTCTCCTTTCATCGCCTGATGAAGGTTAATATTCAGGAGGATGCCTATATGTTTTTCTTTGGGTTCTCCTTCTTATTTAGCTTCTCTAAGATTACGAATTATAGGCTCAATGCCCTTTATTTATGGCTAGAAACCAAATATGAGTGAGAACATCCCATGTTCCTCTTTTTGGGTCTGGCTTACCTCACTCAGGATGGTGTTTTCTATTTCCATCCATTTGCCTGCAAACTTCAAGAAGTCCTTGTTTTTTACTGCGGAGTAGTACTCTAATATGTATATATTCCATACTTTCTTCATCCATTCTTCAATTGAAGGGCATCTAGGTTGTTTCCAGGTTCTGGCTATTACAAACAATGCTGCTATGAACATAGTAGAGCATATACTTTTGTTGTATGATAAGGCCTCTCTTGGGTATATTCCCAAGAGTGGTATTGCTGGGTCCAGGGGTAGGTTGATCCTGAATTTCCTGAGAAACCTCCACACTGCTTTCCAAAGTGGTTGCACAAGTTTGCATTCCCACCAGCAATGGATGAGTGTACCCCTTTCTCCACAACCTCTCCAGCAAAGGCTATCATTGGTGTTTTTTATTTTCACCATTCTGACAGGTGTAAGATGGTATCTTAGAGTTGTCTTGATTTGCATTTCCCTGATCGCTAAGGAAGTTGAGCATGACCTTAGGTGTCTTTTGGCCATTTGAACTTCAAGAAGTGACCAAATTCTTACACATCGTCAAAAGATTAAAATAATGGAGCTGGCCGGGCGGTGGTGGCGCATGCCTTTAATCCCAGCACTCGGGAGGCAGAGGCAGGCGGATCTCTGTGAGTTTGAGGCCAGCCTGGTCTACAAGAGCTAGTTCCAGGACAGCTAGGACTGTTACGCAGAAAAACCCATCTCAAAAAAACAAAAAAAGTTCTGAATCGTGCAAACATCTGTTATTGTCATCAATTTTATCATCATCATAATTTAGATTCATACATAAAACTTTGTACAGTGCTGAAGACATAATTAGTAGAGTACACATTTACCATGAAGAAAACCCTGGGTTTGATCTCCAGCACCCCAAACATGCCAAACAATCAAAATTGCCGGGGAGATGGCAAGCTTGATGACCCGAGTTCCATCCTGTGATACCACAGTGGAGGAGGAGATACTATTGCTGAGGGTTGGCGTCTGACCTTCACACATTCGAGCTCACATACATCATACACACATGTAATAATAATTATCATATATACATCATAATATATTAGCATATATATGCTAAATGTTACAAATTTTAAATATGAAGCCTGGTGTGCATGCAGAAAGATGTGCCTCGGAGAAGACAGGTGAGGCTTCTAACAATCTCCTTCAAGTTTTGACATAAAATCTTCTGCTTTGGGCCGGGCGATGGTGGCACACGCCTTTAATCCCAGCACTCGGGAGGCAGAGGCAGGCGGATCTCTGTGAGTTCGAGACCAGCCTGGTCTACAGAGCTAGTTCCAGGACAGGCTCCAAAGCCACAGAGAAACCCTGTCTCGAAAAACCAAAAAAAAAATAAAAAATAAAAAATAAATAAATAAATCTCCTGCTTTGGTTTCTTCCTTTTTAAAAGGGAGGCCACGGTTATTGAAACTACAACATGAGATAAACCACATACAAAAGTTGTGTGCACAAATAAAGTCTCTGTTGCTCCACTCATTGTGTCCTTTTATTTAATGAAAGTGGTAATGGATCTACATAACGAGTTTCTTATGAAGTGTGACACTGATTAACAAATGTTGGTTATTGATATTATTAACCTACGCCCCCACATGGAGCCTAGAGCAGTGCACCTAGTAAGCACATATTATACTTTTTTTTAAAAAAAATTTTACTTTCTATGCATAAGTATATATGCTTGCATGTACCTATGTACAGTACGTACGTGCCTGATGCTCATGGAGTTCACAAGAGGGCGTTGTATTCCCTACAACTGGAACTAATCATGGTTGTGAGATATCATTTGAGTACGGAACTGAACCTGGGTTCTCTGCAAGAGCAACAAGGGTTCTTAATCATTGAACCATCTCTCCAGTCCCACATGTTATACTTTTGCAGGACGATTTATGAATGGAAGATTTGGGCCTTCTTACTCAGCCGCGCCCCAGCGCCCCCTCCATTCCCACCCCGTGAGCCCTGAGATTCAGTGCCGATTGGACCGCCAGACACCGGAACCCAAAGCATGGGCAGTGCAGCGCCGCCCGAGCTTCTTTTTCCCAGCACAGAGGCAGGAAGTGGCGAGGGCGGGGCCGGCGCTGAATGTCGGAGGCAGGAGCAGGCCTGCTCTGCTAAAATGCTGCTCGATTTGTCCGAGGAGCATAAGGAGCACCTTGCCTTCCTACCGCAAGTGGATAGCGCAGGTAAGGGAGTGCGGGATGCATGCGGCGGGGACAGCCCTGGGTCCAGCCCGACACTTACGGCCTCCTGACTTACGTTGCAGTGGTCGCCGAGTTCGGGAGGATCGCGGTGGAGTTCCTCCGACGGGGATCTAACCCGAAGATCTACGAAGGCGCAGCCAGTAAGAAAGGGAGGAGACGGGCTCTGTCTGTTGAACTGGAAAGTGCTATCCAATCTCTTTTGCTCAGTCCGGCAGGGACCTTAGCAAGACCTAGGGACTTGTACCCATTGCAAAGCCGTTAACCAGGGCGCAACCTCTGCAAGTAACTGAGATTTTAAAGCGCACAATAAATAAATAAGTGCCTTCGTATTTTAAATAAATACAGTGCCATCTGCTTAGTAAATACTGCACGCTCATGAAGTGGAACTGTCAGATTAGCTGAGCACTTCGTTCAAGGGTTCAGTTAGCGTTTACTGCTGCCCTCAAGCCGCTTTTACTGAAGACGGGGGGGGGGGGGGGGGGGGGGGGGGGGGGGGGGGGGGGGGGGGGGGGGGGGGGGGGGGGGGGGGCGGGGGGTGATTAAGAACATCCCTGTTGAGTTCCTCTTCTGCCTGGCTTGAAGGGGCTGTGTGTCCCTGTTCACAGGTCTGTATTTCGTTATGGGTGGTTGGAGAGAAATACCGAAGGCATCTGTTAGTGGGGTGGGTTGAGAAGGAACAGGAATCCCTGCTTAACTCACTTTTCATTAAACTGTTTGAAAACTTAGGGTAATTGAGCGTATTTTTTGTTTGTTTTCAAACAAAAGGATAATCTTTTCATTTTTCTCTCTCTTTTTTTTCCTTAGGGAAACTCAATGTGAGTAGTGACACTGTCCAGCATGGTGTGGAAGGATTGACATACCTTCTTACTGAGAGCTCCAAGCTCATGGTACGGCTTCTGAGGATGGTATTGTATTACCCAGATCCTTTCACACAGGCACCTGTTAGAAATTAGTAACTCATAATCGGATTTCTGCAGTATACCTAAACGGTAGTGTTAAGAGCATTATCTAATATAAATGCCTCTTGCTAGTATAAATTGCAAAATTCTGTCTCATATGCCACCATATGTGTATCCTAGGAGAAGGGAGAATGAAATATTGCATTTCTTTATATTTCTTTACGTATCAGCAGTCAGTATTTGGCTTGATGGAAAAAATAGTCAATAAAATTGGCCGTCTTAATTGTTCTTTTGTTTTTTGTTTTGCCCTCTCATTTCATTTATTAAAGAAACAGTAAGAAAAGAGGCAATGCAGGAAAAGCACCAACCATCCTTCACATCAGTCCGAACGAAGCACATTGATTCTCCCTTTCATCCCTCCACCCCCACCCTCATCCCTCAGTTCCCGTCCACATCAGTTTAAGTTTTGAGGTTCTTTGATTGGGAGTACCAGTGGAGAGGGCGCTGGATGATCAGAGGAGCCTTAAGTCTGGCACCTAAATCTGCAGGCCCAGTCAGGCAGAAATGTGTGGGTCTGTGACGTGAGTGTCCACCTCCCCATTCTGTGCTCAAGTCCCCAGGGAAAGGTCTGGCAGTAGAACACGACCGGGCCCAGGGTGACCAGGCCAGGGTTACTGAAGCATGGTCCGCTCACCAGTGCAGCATCACCAGACAGCAAGTGAGCTAATTCTCCTGTGGTAGGGGGAATTAGGACCTGCAGGCCAGTGTATCCCTGAGGAAAAGACCACAAGAACAAGTCAAGAAACTAGTAAGAAACGAGGGGCAGAAAGCTGTGGGACAACAGCACAGCAGGCGTCCAGAAGGCCAGAGATGCTTTTTCTTGAGGTCAGGATCATTCGATCTGCCATAGTCCGTGTCTCACAAATAATAGTTTGCCTTCAGTCAAGAGGAAAAGCAGAGGAAAAAGAAGGCTCATTTGAACTTGAGCCCCAACTATGTACTTCAGACTGTAGCTCCAGATCTACTCTTGTCTAAGGGACAATCCCAGCCCAGAACCACCGTGTTTGAAAAACAGAGTGTCCCTGGAAGAAAAATGGTATTTAAGGGGGTAACGTTCCATCTGGGCACATCGCAGCCATTGGGCCCCCAGGTCTGGGGAAAGCAGCTGGATTTGAACCAGGGAGGCTGCCTCATTTTGTATTTTAATGAGGTTATTTTGTATGTTAGTAACTTGGATTTTGGAATGGTGGGCAGTGATTGTCTTTAACTGTAAGGAATGTTGTAGACAGAATGTTTGTGTTTAGAAATATCTAACATTTACTAGACAAAGGTAAATCCCAGTGTTCTGTTGACTCCCTCAATTTTATCTTTAGATTTCTGAACTGGATTTCCAAGACTCTGTTTTTGTCCTGGGATTCTCTGAAGAACTGAATAAATTATTGCTTCAGCTTTACCTGGACAACAGAAAGGAGATCAGAACTATTCTGAATGAGTTGGCACCTCGTCTTCCCAGTTACCATAGTCTTGAATGGCGACTAGACATACAAGTAAGGCTTTAAAAAAAAAAAAAAAAAAAAAACTGGCATAGACTAAAGAATTATTTATATGCTCTCTATTTTACCTACTTAACCAAACTCTGGTTTGAAAGAATGTTTATATTTTAATGGTCATTTTTGGGTCATTTCACAGATAGCTCATTTCCTTTTACTTCTAATATAATTTACTAAGTTTAATTTGCAAAGGTTTTTAATTTGTTTTTATTATATGTATTTATTTAGTGTATGTGCATGGCACTTGTATACAGGTCAGAGGACAACTTTTGTTGTCCTGAAGGATTGAATTCAGGTTATCAGGCATAGCAGAAAGTGCCCCAGGCCACTTGAACCATACCAGAGGCCCCAATTTGTAAAGTTTTAAAGAAATCATTTTAAGAAAAGATGATTTAAAAACAGTTGTTTGTGGGGTTTTGGTTTTGGCAATGCCTTTTTTCCTTAAATCATTTCTCTGGAACATGAAACCCACAAAGGAAAGTGTCCAGATCTCTGCAGTCAGTGAGTTACTACATAGTCACATATACATAACGTGGACATGACCATGACCAGCACCCCAAAAACATCTTTATTACCTCCTACCAGTGCTCCTTTCCTCCTTCCCAAAGGTACCCAGCACCCTAAGATGGGACACAGATTTTCCTTCTAACCCATTGTAGCTGTGTTCGCGTGCAGGGGTTGAGGCGACACTCATCTGTAGGCTGTAAGATAGTAAAATGGGTTAAGAAATCTGGTGAGAGTTTAGATATAACATAGCAGACACTGGGAAACCATGTAGATCTTGGATAAACATGTAAAATTGAAGCAATTGTTTAAGAAAACTAATTTGGCATCATTAGGTGAATCAGAAAATTGGGAATTTAAAAGTGTAAAGAATGTAAGCCTTGGGCTGGAGAGATGGCTCAGAGGTTAAGAGCATTGCCTGCTCCTCCAAAGGTCCTGAGTTCAAGTCCCAGCAACCACATGGTGGCTCACAGCCATCTGTAATGAGGTCTGGTGCCCTCTTCTGGCCTGCAGGCATACATACAGACAGAATATTATATACATAATAAGTAAATAAAAAAAAAAGAATGTAAGCCTTTATAATCTTTTTCTCCTTTCTATATGGTATGCTATTTCTGTCTTACTACCTCCTTACTGTATATTACCTTTTTTTTTAAAATATTTTATTTATTTATTTATTATGTATACAGTGTTCTATCTGTGTGTATGCCTGCAGGCCAGAAGAGGGCACCAGACCCTACTACGGATGGTTGTGAGCCACCATGTGGCTGCTGGGAATTGAACTCAGGACCTTTGGAAGAGCAGGCAATGCTCTTAACCACTGAGCCATCTCTCCAGCCCTATATATTGCCTTTTTTAATTGAAGTGTATTTATTTATTCATTTATTTGTTTTGTTTCTGGGGGCAGGGTTTTTCTGTACAGCCCTGACTGTCCTGAAATTCTCACTCTGTAGCCCAGGCTGGCCTCGAACTCACAAAGATCCACCTGCCTCTGCCTCCCAAGTGATGGGATTAAAGGCATGCGCTTTTTATCCTGTTTAAGGAATTTTTTCATACCATGAGGTTTCATTTATAGTACCAGGTTTTTTTTCTTTGCAAAAGTTTTAAAGTTTACTTTTCATTTTAAAGTTTGTGATTCATCTCAAATTTTATTTTTAATCTGGTCCAGTGTAATGTAGAAGTTACCTGTGCAGCATACTTACTAAAGAATAACTGCTCTTTCTGTGTCTCCAAGCTTGCAAGCAGAAGTCTCCGGCAACAGATTAAACCAGCAGTGACTCTAAAGCTGCACCTTGATCAGAATGGCGACCACAGCACCCATCTTCTGCAGACAGACCCAGCTACCCTGCTTCATTTGGTTCAGCAGCTGGAGCAAGCGTTGGAGGAAATGAAGACAAGCCACTGCAGGAGAGTAGTCCGCAGCATCAAGTAGCTCCAAGGTGCAGGTGGCGACCCAGGGATGGCTGTAGTACATCTGAATTTCATGGACTTTCTTTTCTGGTTCAGGATGTTGAATTCTTGATTGAAAGCTAAAGTACAGTTCCTTTCTGGTGCTAAATGCAGTCAGCTTCTTCACAAATTGAGAAGTATTTTGTATTTTAAGTGTATTAGTAAAATGGACTTAACTAAAACGAATCTATACTGTTCTTGTCTTCTGTGTATGTGATTCTCCTGGAATATTGTTCATGTCTTCTGTGTATACGTGATTCTCCTGGAATACTGTTCATGTCTTCTGTGTATATATGATTCTTCTGAAAAATGTTCATGTCTTCTGTGTATATATGATTCTCCTGGAATACTGTTCATATCTTCTGTGTATACGTAATTCTCCTGAAAAATGTTCATGTCTTCTGTATATATGTGACTCTTGTGGAATACTGTTCATGTATTCCATGTACATGGGACTCAACTCTCCTGGCTTGGGTATTTTTTTGTCTGTTTTATTTTCTTTTTCCTTGATAAAATTTGAAAATAAGATTCACTGTTAGTTAGAACTATTTCTAGACAGTTCAGTATCTTTTACTTCTAAAAGCACTGTACGATTATAACCATAGAAAAAGATAAATAGGATTTTTTACAAGATTGTATATATTATTACAGGTAGCTTATATATTCTTGTTTGTATATGAAGATAGCAAATAGCAATGATACCATATTGCTTACATTTGAGTTACTAATATACAAATTTCTGTGGTCCTATCATGCATTTTATCAGGAACTAGGGCTGGGCGGTGGTAGCGCACACCTTTAATCCCAGCACTTGGGAGGCAAAGGCAGGCGGATCTCTTGTGAGTTCGAGGCCAGCCTGGACTATAAGAGCGAGTTCCAGGACAGACTCCAAAGCTATCAAGAAACCCTGGCTCGAAAAACAAACAGTTAAATAAGTAAATATGAATGAATGAATAAAGAAGAAAGAAAGAATATAAGGGTGGTATGATCGGTTCTTTTTTTTAATTTTGTGTGTATAGGTATTTTGCCTACATGTATGTCTGTGCTCCATGAGTGTTCAGTGCCCCCAGAGGCCAGAAGAGGGTATTGGATCCCATGGAACTAGACTTAGAAAGGGTTGTGAGCTTCCATTGGGTGCTAAGGCTCAAACCCAGGTCCTCTAGAATAGCAGTCAGTGCTCTTAACAGTCGAACCATCTCTCTAGCCCAGAACAGTTTTTTTATAATATTTAGTGTGTGTGTGTGTGTGTGGTTTCTCCTCCCACTCTGTGGGGCCTGGGAATAGAACTCAGGTCATCAGGCTTGTTGACAAATCGTTTTTACCCACTGAGTCATCTCAAATGTATAAATATACTTTTTAATTACTCTGAGAACTCAGTTAAAGAAATTGTCATATTAATAAACCCACAAACTCATAAAACCATGAGTTAGCAGTGCGTGTCGCTGGGCTAACGTTAGCCTGCCTGCCAAGCTTTGCGACAGCTCTATGAGGCTTGCTCGTCCCCATTGGACGGGAGATAAACTAGACCGGCCCCACCAATATTGAGCCATTAGCACGTGTCCCTCCAAGCAACCTTTCTTCCACCTCTTGGGCCATTACTCTTAGCTCAATCACAAGATGAAAGCAACTGGGCCGAGTCCTACATGCCTGTAATTCTAATGCCTGGGAGTTGGATTTCAGTGAGTTCCAGGCCAGCTTGGATCTAGAAGTTTGTAACTGAGCTATCTCCCCAGCCCCTTTCATGTTTTACTTTATTTTTTTTTTAATTTTTATTTATTTATTATGTATACAATATTCTGTCTGTGTGTATGCCCGCACACCAGAAGAGGGCACCAGTCCTCATTACAGATGGTTGTGAGCCACCATGTGGTTGCTGGGAACTGAACTCAGGACCTTTGGAAGAGCAAGCAATGCTCTTAACCACTGAGCCATCTCTCCAGCCCCTTTCAGGTTTTACTTTAATACTGTCTGAACATTTTATTATTATCTTAAGTGTCTGGATGTTTCACCTGCGTGTTTATCTGTGCAGGGTGTGTGAGCACTGTCTGTGGAGCACAGAAGAGCGCATCGGATCACAGTATTTCATTGGGGGGCTGGGGAGGTTTCTCAGTTGGTAAAGTGCCTCCCGTGTAAGCAGGACTACCCAAGACTGAATCCCCAGCACCCACATGAAAAGTTGGGCATTGCATCATACGGTTATCACCCTAGCCTTTGGTTGGGGGAGGCAAAGACAGGTCGCTCCCTAAAGGTTGTTGTCCAACCAGCCCAGCTAAACCGGTGAGCTTCACTTTCAATGAGAGACCTGCCTTAAAAAATAAGGATGAAGAGCAACTAAGGAAAGACACTTGATATCAGCATGGACATATACACACAAGTCCATATATGTACACCCACACACAAACAAAAAGTAGCAAATAAAGTTTAGGATCAACAACCATATTTCTGCGTGTGGACTAAATGGAACTATGTATATATAATATTTAGCATGGTGCCAGGCTTTCTTTTAAGATTTATTTTAGCCAAGTGGTGGTAGTGCACGCCTTTAATTCCAGCACAAGGGAGACAGAGGCTGGCAGATCTCTCAGTTTAAGGCTAGCCTGATCTACAGAGTAAGTTATAGGACAGGCAGGTCTACACTGAGAAACCCTGTCTCAGAAAAAAAAAAAAAAAAGCTAAGTCAAAATGAATCAAGACAAAAAAAAAAAACACCTAAAAGTTGATTAAAATCATTAACCTATTAAATATCTATGCACATACAGATATAAATATAAACCCATTATGTTTTTGAAACTTTTAAAAAAACTCATGTATTTATTTTTGTTTTATGTGCATTGGTGTGTTTTGCCTGCATGTATGTCTGTGTGAGGATGCCAGATCCCCTGGAACTAGAGTTCAAACATTTGTTAGCTGTCGTGGGGGTGCTGGAAACTGAACCTGGGTCCTCTGGAAAAGCAGCCAGTGCTCTTAACCACTGAGCCATCTCTCTAGATCCCAGTACCAGGCTTTTAAAAATATTCAATAAATCTTTACCATTATCTAACAGTGGAGACTAAAGGGTCTCATTATTTTATATTTTGTATTATACTCAATATGCTCTAAGAACCTGAGCAATGTGCTAACTCTGGTAGTAACATTATGAGTATTTTTTCTTAATTTCAAATGTGAGTTGGGATGCCTTGCAGAATGGTGTTGGAAAAGCAGGGTCAGAGACTGTGTAATACATATATATACAAGCTGAATAAACCTGTTATTCTTCATCTTTACAAGATATCATGAAGATAATGATACACTTTATACACTAGGATGTGTATTTAATGATATTTATATTTGTTGAGTGATTTGTTTGATTTTCTGAGACAGGATCTCACTGTGTTACTAAGTGGCCTTCACACACTTTTTCCTGCCTCAGTCTCCTGAGTACTGATTGTATATTCATCAGATAACTGTTATGATATGCCAGATAACTCCATTTGAATCTTCTTGACAGCAATCCATCCAGTCTGCAGGCCATACAGGGCCTATAGGCCAGTTTTATTTTCTTAAATAGACTTCAAGTACAAAGGAACGGCAGGAATAAAAATTCTTACACTAATTAATACACTCTAAAATTGGTTTTTAGACGGGTGTAGTGGAAACCACCTTCAATCCCAGCACTTGGGAAGCAGAGGCAGACAGATCTCTGAGTTTGAAGCCAGCCTGGTCTATAGAGTGACTTCCAGGACAGCCAGGGATACACAGAGAAACCCTGTCCTGAAAAAATAAACTGGGTTTTCACTTAGATCGTTGCCATTCTAAACCCAAGCAACTCTTGACAAGATGGATTATTTGTCTAATTTTAATGTAAATCATGTTTTTTAATCCTTATGAATATTGCTAACTACATGGCTGTCGAACTGACAGCTTATGCTCTTTGCTTGAACTTGAATTCAATTCGCTGAATTTTAGTGGTGAAGGATCAGTACAGAGGGTAAGTGGATGTGTGTTGTCGACATCGGCGTGGCAATGCCAAGAACATGCCCCAGCCCTATGGAAATGGCAAAGCCTCCCCGGGTCAGGCTCAAGGGGATGGCAAAGCCCTCCTATGGTCTGTGTGTGGATGATGATAGTGTACACAGGAAATGTACACCATAGCTTGCTCCCATCAGCTGTTCATGGCCTGGAGACTGCTTCCCTGTAGAGCCTGCTCCCACTGAGATTAGCTAAACTGCCTCTTAGTTGCGCTGTGTGTGATAACCCCGCCTTCTTGTGTATCATCTTTAAATAAGAAGCCCCTTCCTTGTTCAGCTGATGGGACAAGTCCACCTCCCTGTTCAGCTGGAACTCAATAAACAAGCCGCTCTTCCGGGGTATTGTAGTGTCTCCATTTGAGAGCCCAGGCCACCCAATCCCAGGTTTCTGTGTCAATGTATCTGTCATTTCTTGAGTGCCTTAATTCCCTCATAGATGGTAGTCAGGGTTCTGGGACCAAAGCCATTGGAGACTAAAGTATACTATAGTAGATTATAATACTGTCTTTTCATTTTCATGTTTCATGGAATAGTTTGCCCAGCAAGCAGGTAAAAAGAGAAACAATGGAACCAGCCACATGAAGTTTATATCTCTTTTTCCCCATTCTTTATTTTCTTAAAGGTATAATCCACTTATTTATGGTATGCACACACGGAAAAAAAAAACCGTAGAGTGATATGAAACCTTTCTTGCTCCTTCTTAGGCACACAGAGGGTTCAATTTTGTTAAATATTTATGACATTCTTGGAGGCGTCCTTGTGTGTGGAATGAAGGGTAAAGTCTTACTTTTCTGGTTTAATATGCTCAGCTGATTCCACTCTGCAGGGCTGTTTCACCTAAGTTCCTTAGGCTGCGGAACAGACTTCCCCAAGTGCTGCTGTGGACAAGGCCGTGCCTCTGCCTTGTCTGCTGGCAGGACGTTCCCAGCAATGGCACAGCAGTCCCGAGAGCAGAGCGCAGAGCGGAGCTGTAGTGCGCTCGCTCGCTCGGGTGGCCAGAGCCTAGACGCCTTCAGAGGAACGCAGGTCCTTGTGGGAAGGTGTGGGCACCGAGAGCGTGGCGGAAATGGTCCTTAGCTGTAGTGCGCTCGCTCGCTCGGGTGGCCAGAGCCTAGACGCCTTCAGAGGAACGCAGGTCCTTGTGGGAAGGTGTGGGCACCGAGAGCGTGGCGGAAATGGTC